GAGTGACCGGCCCTCAGGTATTTTGATATGGTCCAGTTTGACCCCCTTAAAAAGGTTTGGACACCCCTGCCTAAACTGGAACTGTTTTCCAATGAGGTAAGTTTTCATTACGATCTGATCATAAACGTCAGATAAGAGCACAGTAGTCACGTACAGTCTAGAGCCTTTTGAGCTATGATCATAGAGGCGGTCACTCTGCAGCGGAGTGAGTGTGTTTGGGTTTCAAATCAAACATTATCAGTCAAGCCTGGTCAGGTTGGGTCTCAAAATCGGAATTAGGAATAGGGAGTTCGTTCCCCTTCGCTGCAGTTACAGCCTCTACTCTTCTGGGGATGTTGGAGCTGTTTTGATTGCATTTGATTGCATTCAACCACAAGAGCATTGTGAGGTCAGGCACTGATGTTGGATGAGGTTTCGGAGAGCCGTTTTTGCTTTTCTGCTAAATTTCGTGCTGTAGGCCTCACTTGATGAGGGTCAGTCCTGTAGCGGTGCTTATGCAACACTGAGATTATGATGAATGAACAGCATGTCAAAGCTGGAGGTAACATGGAAACACATCACAGGACAGCATGCACAGTGACACGGAGTCAATGACAACAACAACTACAATAATAACAGTAACAATAGTATAATAATAGCAGTCATACAGAGCCCTTTCTGCTTATTAAACAAAGAAATTAAACAAAAATGATACACTGTGATTCAGAAGTTTGGAATCATTTGTCATATTAATAATTGCTGCTATTTTCAGTAATAGCTTTTACAGTGTAGATTGAAATGCTATAAGCTGGACATCAGATGGTGTTTTAAGATGTTTTCTTAAATTTTTCAAGCTTTTTGTGAACATCAAGAAGTTCTTGTGTGCCAAGTAATATACTGTAATTATTCATTTATAGTGATTTCTTGATAAATTTTTTTATTTGTTCGCCACTTTTCCAACACGAGGCATTCTAGATGTTAATTCTTTTCTGATGTTCTACGGCTTTCCCAGATGGAATCGTCCTCATCATTCTGGACACATCTAACATTCCTTCTTTTTTGATAGCTTCCCACTTGAAACCAATGATGTTGCAAAGTACCAACATCATAATAGAGTAATTTTCATACATCTTTCTTCAACAGATTGGGTTTAAATTATTGACTCTTCAGACTTTTGAGTGGTGAGTGGTTGGGTCATCTGATTCAAGGCTAACTGTATCTGGGGAAAACCTCTGGAAAATGGAAAGAAGACCTTTCTTGGCCCACTGGTGTCTGAAGGTGTGGTTGAAAGTGGGTTTCCATGCACGTGTTTGCGTGTAAGTGGGATAAAGATACGACCGCTTATGTATGTGGGAGAGGGATAAAGAGCTGAGCTGGGCTTTTAACCGGAGCTCAAGGGGTTAAACAATGGCACGCAGAGGGCTGTTTCACAGGGAGGCCTGTTACTGCAGCAAAAGGGGGACAAACTCTCCATTAATACCTTGATTTCAGAAGAAACAGTGGATTAGCAGGTGTCTATAAACGTGTGATGGACGTATAATGTAGGTAACACATTTAAACACAGTACATATGAATATCTGAAGGAAGAGAAATGCTCAGGAGTAGAGCAGTGCTGAGTACGTATGCAGTAAAGCGGTGTTGGGTCAGCTGGGGGGAGTAATTATAAAGAGATGAGGAGGTCAAGTCCAGCTGAAGATGCAGGTAAGAAGCCCTTCACATTTCAATTGGAGATGAGCTTATCAGCACAAATTCTCACACACAGCTCTGCTGTCTGGGGCAGGTGAGGTTGGGTGGTGTATAACATTCAAGGATGAACTTTTGGACCAAAAACTGGGCTTAGATTTGTCCACCACAATTGTCTGGACACCACTGAAATAAATAAGACTGAAATAAATCTACTCTTTTGCTTGTTGGCAGGCTGCTGTACAAATATGGTAGTTCAGTTTTTAAGCTATCTACACTATCTGGACAAAAGTATCGGAACACCTACACATCACACCTGCAGGAGCTTTTATGAATCCCATTCTAAATCCATAGGCATTAATATGGAGTTGGTCACCCTTTGCAGCTGTAACAGCTTCCACTCTTCTGGAAGCTTTCTACAGATTTTGGAGAGTGTCTGTGGGAATTTCTGCCCATTCATCCAGGAGAGCATTTCTGAGGTCAGACACTGACGTTGGACGAGAGGGTCTGGCTCATAATCGCCGTTTAGGTCATCTCAAAGGTGTTTGATGGGGTTGAGGTCAGGGCTCAGTCAAGTTCTTCCACACCAAACTCACTCAGTCAGGCCTTTATGGAGCTGCTTTGTGCTCTGGGGCTCAGTCATGCTGGAACAGAAAAGGTTCTTCCCCAAACTGTTCCCACAAAGTTAGAAGCATAGAATTGTCCAAAATGTCTTGGTGCTGAAGCATTAAGATTTCCCTTCACTGGAACTAAGGGTTCTAGACCAACCCCTGAAAAACAGCCCCATATCATCATCCCTCCTCCACCAAACTCTACAGCTGGCACAGTGCAGTCAGGCAGGTAACGTTCTCCTGGCATTCGCCAAACCCAGACTCGTCCATCAGACTGACAGATAGAGAAGCATGAATTCAGTGTTTAAGAGGTGTGTTATGTCACACAGCTAAGTCAGGTAATAGGGTTGCCAAGTCCCTTAAATATGCATCTTTATCTTATATATAACGTTTAGGACAAAAAATGTTGTTTTCTCTTGGTTTTATTTGTGCTACACAATGGCAGAACAAATAGTAGACTGAAAAATGTATCTGTACAGCTCTCAATGAGGTAAACCTGTAATGTTCATGTGTTATTATCAGATAGGAAAAAAGGAAAAAAAGGGAAAATAAACCAGACAATTATTGAACTGTTTTAAATCACACACACAAAAAGGTGGAAAGACATATGAAAGACATTTTACTGCCGACACCAACCAGCGCTGTCCTTGTTTGACAGTTGGAATCTGGCAACCCTGTCAAGTAACTGTTTTTTTCTAGCTAGCTGACTAGCCAAGAACATGAATTCACAAACCTTCAGCTCAGATTTTTTTTACCCAGGTTTCTCCTGGCCATGGATCACTGTGGCTGATTTCTAGGACTGACTCTTAGGGTGGGGCACTCAGGAGCCCACCCCAGACCCTTAACAGTACCAGTTTGGCTACTCGTTAGTGAACTTACATACATAAGGTTGGCTGTGTTCTGGTTGGATTTTGGTGATGGTGGAGAAGCTTAGTCATTTTGCTGACAGGTTAATTTATTTTTCTTTTTGTTCCCCACGCTAAACTGAAACCCTTCATATTTGAGTTATTATTATTGCGGAAGCCCACTCAAGCCCACTGATACTGCATCACGTCTGCTGTTTGTCACTGCTCTTCATTTAAAAGCTGTAGATGTTCGTCACAGGAAGCCCACATCACCCTGAGGTGTTTAAAAACTCATCCACATTGCTGAGGGAAGCAGAAGAGAAGCGCATGAATATGGAGATGAGGTTTTAAGAGAGGTATGAATATTCATGGGGTTGACACTTAGAATGTCAGATAGACCACTCACACAACCTGTAATTAACTCAGGTCTGTGGGAAAAGAAAGGATGTCATTCTGCCAGCATCCTTTTTCCCATTATCTCTGTCGAAACTGATCTAGGAGTTGGGAGGTTGAGTAAAGCATGATGTTCGCATTTGGAGGCAATGCGTTTTTACTAGTGATGCGCAATTTGGTGTCAACACTTTAAAGTCATTATCAGTGTTCATTTGATATCATCACACACGATCAGTCTCAAAGACTGAGAGCAACTGATTAAACAAGTGGAGTCAGCTTGGAACGAAAACCTGCAGCCACACCGGCCCTTTGCAGACAAGATTGGACAACACTGCAACGATTCTGTGTACCTAGAACCCTACGTCCAAGCCAAGAACCATTTAAGATCTTTTCTTTTTAAAATGTCGCTGAGTGCAGAAGCAATGGCAAAGAGAACTGTACGCTAGCTCAGGCAGTATCTCCAAATTCATATGTATTTTCATGCGTGGGCTCTTTCCGCAGGCCCCCTTGTGACGGTTCCACCAGTGGAATGGAAATCAACTTGGATATTTTTAATTAATATAATCAAATAAATTATGTTGTTCCCCTTTAACACTGTTATCAACTAGGACACTGTTGTCTCTCTGTGTGTGAGGTGTTGCGACTCTATGGTTGTGTTTACATGCAAAGATTCTTGCCAAACCGATTGAATAAATTCCGATTACAGATTAAGAATGAGGTGTTTATTCTCACTCTGCTCAACAATCTGATGGAAAATCTCTGTTCACATGCTCACTACAAGTAATCCGATCCAAAATTTTGCGTAGAGTAGACGTTACCATGACAACGAGCATCACGTGAGTCCAGTCAGAGTGAGACGAGTTTTCAGCTGGCGCGCTTTTGTTTTTAATTGCTTTAAAACGTACTTCACATGTATTGAGGAAGCAGCTAGAGGAAGACGTCGTGTTCTGAGACACATAAGCTGGACGTCCGTCCCACCGCCGTCTTTTAAAGATCAGAGCATAAACTTCGTCTCCTCTGCAGACCAGTTTCTGCTCCGCCATGTTGAACAGTATAAACTTTCACTATGACGCGACGAACATGATCAGAACGGACTTAAACTTTCTGATTGGGAATGTAATCAGATACAGGCGTTTACACGGATATTATTCTTCTATTTAACTGATTATTTACAGGATTACCCACCTCGATCAGTCGGATAGAAATTGTATTCCGAATGGCATCAATCAGACTAGACTATTCCGATTGAGGTGTTTACATGGACGTATTCTATTCTGATTGAGCTGATTTTGAGGTCCCTCCAAAATTGCATATTATAATTACAGTAAAAAAAAGGTTAAATCGTGATGGGAAATTTGCCAGTGGGGTTTAAATTATCGTAGCATTGCAGCCCTAAAATGCTGGTGGTTTCTTTGTTGAGACTGACCATTCGTTAGTGAGCTTCTTTCAGGTTTGTGCTTAACCATTTTGAAACTGCGTGTTGTTTCAGTGAGATTAACCGTTTGGATTTGGGGTTGGTGGTGGAGCTGTGGAATAAAGGCCTGATCTGGGACACCTTGGTGGGGACGGCCTGGATCCCCCTCGACACCATCCGCCAGTCCGATGAGGTAAGAACCCAATCATGCTTCTCATCTGCAGCCTTTTTCGTCTGAAATCCTTTTGAAAGTATGTCTGTGTTGGATGTGCTGGAGCTGAATGGATTTTTTTACTTTAAAGTCTCCCGCGTGTGCCCTGTTCTCATTAATAATGCAGTTACACGTGTTTAATTTATTGTAAGGTCTTTATCTCTTTCTTTTTCTTTCTTCCGCTCTGTGCCTCGCTCCTTCTTTCTCTTGCTAACTCTCTTTTCCTCTCTATATGTCTGTCATATTCAAATAGCATTAATTGTAATTAACAGCTATTGGCAAAGCAATGAAAGGAATTCATGTTATTAAAAGGAATGTGTCATATTGAGTAACAGTGCTAATAATATTGAAGATGATAAAATGAAAAACTGAGTAAAACAAAACTCTTGCTCTCTTTTTCTGTGTCTCTGTGCCTGTAGGAGGGTCCTGGGGAGTGGATCTCTTTGGATTCGGAGGTCCTCATGAAAGCAGATGAAATTTATGGCACTAAAAACCCAACACCTCACCAGGTTCTGCTGGACACTCGCTTCGAGCTGCCCTTTGGTAGGAGCACAGACTTTGTCAAAGAACACAAAATGACCAAACATTTACTTTAGGGGCCACGCAAATGGCTCCACATTTTCCCAGCGTTCGACACATCCGGACCTTATAGTCAACGTCCCCACATCGCAACTTCCACTTGTTTGTGTTTAGGTGGTCATTGGCAGCTGGTAAATTTCTCATGTAAGCCCGTGACATTGCTCACTGCAACACTAAGCAATGGAACAGTGGAAGCTGAAATAGCAGAAACGTTGCTTTTAGGATTGTTGCTGCTTTCAGAATTAGTAGATATATTTACCATTAATTTGATGGTTAGTTTGCCACCTTGGTCTGTCGTGTTGCCATGGAAACAGAGCATGTTCTGGCTGGGGAGATGTCACTACTCTTAACCTCAGGTAACTTGCAATGTGCATGAGTCCCCTTGCATTTTTGAGTGTGACTATCTTGCGGTAAACTTTAAGAATTAATTACGAGTTACAGAAATTCACAGATTTCAGCCTCAGATGCTCCACTCACAGAGCTGTACAGACCATCTGACATTTATTTAATCTATATTGTATATATACACCGATCAGGCATAACATTATGACCACCTCCTTGTTTCTACGCTCATTGTCCATTTTATCAGCTCCACTTACTATATAGGTGCACTTTGTAGTTCTACAGTTACAGACTGTAGTCCATCTGTTTCTCTGATACTTTGTTAGCCCCCTTTTACCCTGTTCTTCAGTGGTCAGGTACTATTTTCACAGAGCAGGTACTATTTGGGTGGTGGGTCATTCTCAGCACTGCAGTAACACTGACTTGGTGGTGGTGTGTTAGTGTGTGTTGCGCTGGTTCGAGTAGATCAGAGCTGTAGATCAGTGCTGCTGGAGTTTTTAAACACTGTGTCCACTCACTGTCCACTCTATTAGACACTCCTACCTTGTCAGTCCACCTTGTAGATGTAAAGTCAGAGACGATAGCTCATCTGCTGCTGCACAGTTTGTGTTGGTCATCCTCTAGTCCTTCATCAGTGGTCACAGGATGCTGCCCACAGGGCACTGTTGGCTGGATATTTTTGGTTGGTGGACTATTCTCAGTCCAGCAGTGAAACTGTCCTGACCACTGAAGAACAGGGTAAAAGGGGGCTAACAAAGTATCAGAGAAACAGATGGACTACAGTCTGTAACTGTAGAACTACAAAGTGCACCTATATAGTAAGTGGAGCTGATAAAATGGACAATGAGCGTAGAAACAAGGAGTGGTCATAATGTTATGCCTGATCTGTGTATGTTGTAATGTATATTATAAGATAGCCACTGCTGTCAGAATTTTGTCATTCACATTTACACTCTCAGTGGCTCGCCACGCTTCGATAACACTCTCATTGGCTACGTGCACTGCCGTTTATTCACTTCAGTGTGCTGGTTTAGATCAGTTTGGCGGGTAACAAACTTTATCAAGATAAAAACTAAGTAGTCATCAGCATTAAGCCATTGCCTGCTCGGCACATCTTGATAACATTGATTCCCCAAATTTAAAAAAAGAGAGAAGTTCATGGCATCTTGTAAGAAGATTTAGAAATTTTGTTTGAAGATGACAGCACATTTCCTGCTGGCTGCTTAAGCCATTGTTTACCACTTTGTTTTGTGTGGATCTGTTTTTTGTTGTGGCGCAGTGGGTAGCGCTGTCGCCTCACAGCAAGAAGGGCCTGAGTTTGGTTCCTGGCCGGGTGACCAGGGTCATTTCTGTGTGGAGTTTGCCTGTTCTCCCCGTGTCTGCGTGGGTTTCCTCCGGGTACTCCGGTTTCCTCCCACGGTCCAAAGACAGGCAGTCAGGCTGATTGGACATACTGAATTGCCCCTAGGTGTGAGTGTGTGTGAATGTGTGTGTCTGTCTGTCTGCCCTGCGATGGACTGGCGACCTGTCCAGGGTGTATCCTGCCTTCCGCCCAATGACAGCTGGGATAGGCTCCAGCACCCCACCGCGACCCAGAAGGATAAGCGGTTTAGATGATGGATGGATGGATGTTTTTTGTTGTAGCACCATTTTGACAATTGGCTGCCGCTAAACTTCACCCGAAAACAGCAGCCTGTGATTGGTTGTTTTTTGTGTCAGTCAAATTCCTTATCTGAAGGACAAGGAGATGAATTAGCAGCAAAGAGAATGGCCACATAAGGGAGCTCAGAGTTCAGACTATCAGATAATAATGAAGAACAAGATTGTTCGTGACTTGCGGTATATACTGTAAAATCTACTAAACTCTACCTTAAGCCAGAACGCACAATATAAAAAGAGGTCAGGAACATTTCTATTGGAAAGACCTCAATTTACGCCACGTTATCCACCTTTTTGAGAAATCACTTGTTGTGAAATACCTTTTAAGAGAGTTTTAGTGCATCATCAGGAAGGCGTGAACGTCCACATGTAGGCCATGTTCCCTCTGTGACTGTGGAAAGCTTATTCACATAGAAAAAGGCAGAGTGTTTGTGCGGAAGGTTGGAAGCTTTTTCTGCAGAAACGCCTGGCAGCTCATGCCATATTTAAGAGTTGAATGGGGAGTGTTATTGCTGTGAGGCCGGAGCAGGGACGGGGCGAGGCTGTTTGAGTGTGGGAATATTAGAGTGAGAGAGAGACGAAAGGGTGGAAAGGAGGACGTAGCTTGGCTTGAAGAGCAGTTTCCATACATTTCTTCTTCATTCTGACTCATTTTGTTGCTTCTGCAGACATTCCGGACGACGAGGCCCAGTACTGGACAAGAAAGCTGGAGCGCATCAATGCAATGAGGATACACGATGAGGTAAAGATATAAAGAATTATTCATTTTCATGGTTTTCAGGAACAGTTCTGTCCTCTTCCTGGACTTCACCTACCTGCAGAGTTCAGCTTCAGCTCTAATCGGACATCACCTAACGATGCCAGCCAAAGGTTTCTGAATGCAGTTGGATTCGGTGTTAGATTTGAATTGTAGCCCTTTAAGAACTGGCTTTACAAAAGCCCATTATATGGATTAAGAATATATATTTATGTATGTCCATTGTTTTGGTGCTCCATGTTTATGATGATGAAGTGTCCAGGAACATCGTTTTTTAAGTGTAATGTAATTAAAAAACGTACATTTCTGTAGTTTTTGTTAATTCAATTTGGTTGCAGATCCAATGAACCCAAACATAAATCTTTTAAGAAATGTCTTTATCTTTGTCGCCTCCTGCTGATGATTCTTTGTTATTGCAAATAGTGTCAGAAATGGATGGAACAACCACATGACTCGAGCAAGATCGAGCACGAATATGAATTTGATTAGGTTTACCATTGCATAACAATAAAAAAAAATCTATATTGTTTAAAAACTGAGTTGTCTGTGTTTTATATCGTTGTGTTTCTCTTTTTTTACAGTATCCACTGCAAGATGAAGCCCAAAGAATGCCAATGGCACCCCTCCCCTCGCAGTGCTGTAAGTATTGCGTTGTGTTTTTATACAGTGTACGTACTATGATTAAGCGACCACACACGGGATGAGGACATTTGATCTCGCTGATCAGGGCGGAGTTTCCTGAAAGCATCTTAGAAGAAAGATGATTCTTTAATGACAGAGCAAGCATGACACTGAACTCTCTCTCCACCAGCTAATGCTACAGCTGGGCCGATTTTAACCCTTTTTAAAACGATCTGCCCCTTCTGACCAATTTTCACAATTTGAAGTGATTGTCCAGGTCAGAAGCAGTTGACGCTGTCTGGGTTTTTGGGGTCTGGTGATGTGACAGGAGAAACGAGTCAGTCTCTGGAGTGATCGTAGGCCTTCTGATATTTTGAAGAAGTCTGATTTTTACGAATCCAAACTTTCACGAGTCTTGTAGGGTGAGATGGTCAGCGCCATAACGATTCAGACACCAGCCAGTGAGAGAGAAAAAAGGCGAAGACACTTTGTATTACGTGATAACCGGCGGAGGGAGGTCTGAGGTTTGAGTGCGTTTTCATAGCCAAAACTCGTTATGAAGTGTTTAACGAGACAGAGCTGAGTCGGAGGTGTAGATTGGACACACGGTCACACATGCAGCTACACTCGTGAGATGCTGACGTGTGCGGTCTGGTGTAAATTCGGTGTTATTGTCTAGTGCAGTGGTCACCTGCCCTCCTCTTAAAGATCTGCTTTCCTGCGGGTTTCACTTCCAGCCCAAATCTAACACAGCTCATTCAGCTGATCTAGGGCTGCGTCCAGAAACTTCTGCTACTGCTTCTCTCCATCGCTAGAAGAACACGAGAGGAGAGGAAAGGAGCAGGAGGAATGGAAAGAACGAGCAGAAATCAGGGAAATGAGACAGCTGACTGCTTTCAGAGTCATTTAATTTGATGTTGACTATGATGAAATTAGTTCGCTAGAAACACACAACTTTTACTTGCCTTAAGCTGAGGCAGCCCCATCCATGGCGCCTGGGGAGCAGCTGGGGGTTAGGTGTCTTGCTCAAGGGCACTTCAGTCAAGTACTGTCGGCTCAGGGGATCAAACCGCCGACCTTCCGGTCACAAGGCTGGATCCCTAACCTTCAGCTCATGACTGCTGTTTATAATGCTGGGTGTGTCTGCAGTGACACTATAAAGTCTGTACTTCCTGGGTTGCATACATTGGTGTTTGGAGCCGCTTCTCCAGCCTCCTCCGGTATTTGGACAGCTAGTAAGATGGCGTTGTGAAATCGGTTTACGGGCCATGGAGGAGAGGAGGAGAATCTTTCAGGATTTCTGGACGCAGCCAAGGATTTCTGAAGGCAATAATTAGGTGGATCAGGTGGAGCTGAAATCTACAGGAAAGTAGATCTTCAGGAACAGAGTTGGTGACCACTGGTCTTGTGTGTGACCCTCTAGGGCTGTCACGATCATGAAATTTTAGCTGTTGATTAATTGTCATAAATAATTGTAATTACTGATTTAATTGTCTTTTCTGGTTCACTGTATGTGTCTATTAAAGAGGCCAATTTGGCTTATTAGCCATCTTGCTTCCTGGTTATGTTTACTTAGTAGTTAACACTGGTAGTCCTGCTGAATTGATTCACAAATGTGTCAGTTACAGAGAATCATGTGTAGTCAAGCAGAACTTGAGAGTGAAAAAGCTTTATTCTGCTCACATTAATGCTAATCATTAGAACTAACTACACAGCTAACAACAAAAAAAAATCAATACTAGTGCCTCCCTCCAAAACATTTTAGGGCACCAAATTAGAACTTTTTTTGCTTACATTAGTTCCATGATGTGTCCCAAAGATTCCATTTACTGCTTTCTTTTGTTTATGTTTATTTACCTCAGCCTAACACATACAATCACATTTTGCTTATTGCAGCTTTATAATTTTTAAAATACAGGGAGATTCACTCGAAAGAGGCCCCAAATATTCTGTAATAACTCTCACTAGGACGAAGCAATCTAATGAAACAACGTGCAATGTGCTCCTCAGTATATGGAGCTTTGAACAAGCCAGGATGCCCCTGTGTCAGAGCGATGAGGTAGGCGCAGGACAGCCGTCGCAACGTTTAACCTCCGTTTGCAACTTCCGGGTGCAGACCCCCGTACCCCTTTATGTGTCTGGCAGAAAACGGAAATCACTTCCAGCATTGCATGTAGTGCAATTGATTACACATACGTCAAGGTTTGTAGTATATTTTGTTGCTTCAGATTTCTTCATCCTAAAGGGAGCAACAACAGAATATTCAGGGCCTCTTTCGAGTGAATCTCCCTGTATATTGGAAAATGATTGCTGTCAGCTTAAATAATTGTGATCATCTCAAATAATTGTGAGCATTTTAAATAATCGCGATTAAGTGATTATGTAATAATTGTGACAGGCCTAGCGCCCTCAAAACACAAGAAATTCTGTCTGACGTTAAGCGTGCGATGCTCTCCATTTTTGAAATCTGTTAGGATGCTAAAAGTCGTGTTGTGGAAGCCCAGCTTTAGATGCTTCAGGAGTCACAGCATTGTATGGATTATTTGTGCTGTTTTAGGTGTTACGTCTATCAGATTTTTCAAAACGTTTGTTCTTTACTAAAACTCTAGGTTTGATGCAGATCTGTGAAGAGATTTTAAAATGGTCTTTCTTTTAAGAAACTGAATGTGATTTTCAGTAGGTCTAAGCTAAGCAAGCCAACATGTTTTAGTTTTTCTCCAAAAATGATCAATCCTAAACTTTTTTTCCTTTCTTTCCTTTGGACATCATCCTATATAATTGCTGCAGCAAGAATGTGCTGTTTTCCTGGGCACGTCTAGAGGATGTGCTCCCTTTTTCCACGTAGTTCTTTTTTTAACCACTGGAGGGCAGCGTGTGGCTGTTAGTCCTCTAGGCTGCTGTGGGACGCTGAGTTATAAATATTTAAATGCCTCTTTTGACAGCGACTTCGCTTAAATTGCCTATCACATTTAAACTTAGTTTGACTTTTGGTTTGTTTGGTTTGTTTCTACTGTATCTCATCATTTAATCGTATCTGAATCCAAGATACCCTTGAACATTTCTTTGAGTTTTTGGTTTAGATACTTTTGAGAATATTTTGGCTACTATGAAGTGTTTACAGTTGGATTTTGAGAGATAGACTTGTATCTGCTATTTGTTTTATGTGGAAATGCTATTTCTTTTGTTTTAGTTTTCCCATGAATGTGATGTCACAGTAATCTGAACATTCACTAGATACATTGGCCCAAATTGTGAATGCCTGCTTCTTTGTTTTAATTCATGCAACTTCCCTTCTCATGCTCAGGCAGCTGGACTTACTTTGGATGGAGTGAACAGCAGAGTATGTACTTCACAAAGTCTGTCCTTTAGTCAGTTCATCCAAGGTCACTCTGTCTGTTGGTGTGCCATCCGTGACTACTGCACTTGCTGCCAGTGGCTCCCAAGAAAAAAAAAAGAGATTTCTCATGACTCACTGTCTCTTTCATGCTTCACTTTTTTTCACACTCCCTACTAACAGCTATGCATGACATCTAACTAACAGATCGCCAGCTTTTTTGTCCTCTGGCTAAACCAATACCAGTGTTGGAATGTTTAAAATAAATGCCAAATAGTTTTAACATTTTGCTTTCTAACACAATATTTTTGGCACAAGTGACAAAATACTTTTTTGGGGCCACTCAGTTTTCAAGTTCATTCGAGACATCATCAGCATGAACCGTATCCTAAGCATGGAAGCACATCTGAAAGATTTGTTTTTTGTTCATTCTTTCTCTTTTAAAAAAGGTTTGGTGCATCTCATGTTCATCTGTAACATCTGGTTACATCACTGTGGTTTGCACTTTAGGACATTCAAATGTGATTGACAATTTTGTGTCAGATAAATGCAGTTAGTCTTGTTTTCGTATGCGGTTCTAGCTCTGGATGACCATGATAGTGCAGTGGACGACAGAGACAGTGACTACCCCAGTGAGACAAACAGCCGTCCTCCGCGGTACCACACGACAGCCCAGCCCAATTCCTCAGTACACCAATACCCTGTGGGCCGACGTTCGCATCATCAACCTGTGTTCAAGGAGTCTGGAACAGATTCAGTCCACAACTATGAACTGGACTACAGGGAAGGAAGGGGCCCTAGGTAGAGATGCACAAACAGTATGCAAACACCTCACAAACATAAGTCTGAAATAGAGAATGATGACTATGATACAGTTAAACTTATAATAGGCCTAATTTCTCATTTCTGATTTTTTTGCTTGAAATGTTTTCTCCACACAGTTCCCCCTGTACTTGCACATACTTGTGCTATTATTTAATTATTTTCTTTATTGTTTAATTTTAAGTTTATGATTTACTTAATTATTTTTTGCTTTATTGATTTGTCCCATAATTTGATTTGAGTGTTTCTTACAATTTCTTTACTCTGCATTTTCATTTTCTTCCATTCTTTAATGCATCGCAACTTACACAACTCCGTCAACAGGCATTCAAACAATAGAGGTTCGGTGAGGATTATACCTGTTGATTCAGGCATGGGGGTTGAGGACTGGGAGACTAAATACAAACTCAACGACAACATCTTGGATGACTACCTGGAACCAGAGCAGAAAACCTGGGACGATGACGATGAGTCAAAGAGTGAAATTTATCGCATTGTAAGCAGTCCTGGTGACTCTAAAGGGAGCCGTTTTTATCAGACAGTGGAGTGTGATGCCGTGTCGCCAGAGACTGAAGAATATGATGAAGCAGGGAATTCCGTCAAGAGATCTGGTCTGGGAAGTGGAGATGTTCGCCTGGTTTATAAAGAAGCAGGAAGCTTTGAGGATGAAACCTCTCCTCCTGAAATATCCATTATCCCTTCAGTTAGGCAGGTTCACCATCAGAAGGTAGATGGAGCATCATATAAAGAGGGTCTCCTGTACAAGACAAGAATGTGGGCAAAGAACTCATTTGAGGACACATTGGAGAACTATACAATTTATCGGGAGGAAGAGGAAGCCAGGATGAGGGCAAGAAGTGAGTATGGGTCAGTAGGATCAGATGAGATGCAGTTTTCCCTTGGATCTGAGGAGGAATTGGATGACATGACATTTGTTGAGGAGGATGGACAATATGAATATGATAGTTACTACAATAGTCGAAGATATATTTCTTCTTATGGTGAATGGACACATAGTTATTATGAGCGAAAAGGCATAGTTAGCACTCGAGGCACAGATAATATGTTGTCACCAGTGGAGGAACCAAGTGATGAGTATGTTGATACTATGAACGAACTCCAGAAAATAGTTGATACAGTGTCTGAATATCTTGCTGGGAGAGAGGAAGAGATTAGTAAGTATGAAGAAGTGCAAAAATCTGGCACAAAACCAGAGACAAGTGACAAGGATAAGGACAAAGACCTCAAGTCAGAGGAGGTAAAGGAGGAAAATGCAGTTGAACAGAGCATTACAGGAGTGAAAAATGCTGTGAACTCTTTGATTAGCTCAATTGCAGGCAACAAGTCAACAGCAGAAACCACTGAAACAACAGCCACAACAACACTATCTCCTGCTCCTCCTCAGCCCGAGTCTGGCTTTTCTAAACTATTGTCTTTCATACCAAAGTCAAGTGGCAGTCCAACCCCTGTTGCAGTCGTTCCACCTGCTCATCAGGAGCCTAGTGCAGATAAGAAATTCTCACTGCAGTCACTTCTGCCTTTTCAGTCATCAGAGCCCAGCCGTCCAGCTAGTGCGGCATCAGGAGCCGAAGCTACTGAAGGTTTGCCAAGTGATACTGAGACTCAGGGATCCTCTACAAGTCAGCCGCAAACAGTGGTTGATTCTGTCTTGGGAAGACTGAGTCCCTTCAGGCTTTTTGACAAACCTGCAGGTGAATCAGCTTCACAACCAGCATCACCAAACAGATCTCAGGGAAGCACTGAGACCAAAGAGGGATCAATAGATCAATCTAACAATTTGTCGTTAGAACGGTCTGGCTCACAACATGAACACCAGTCCTCACTTGGAGGCTCAGGCAGTGGATCAGTGGAACTACTACCGGAATCTGAGTCATCAGGAGAAATACCTGATGTCCTTCCTAGAGAGACTTCTCTTAAACAAGGAGAAAGTAAAATCGAAGCAAATCCACCCACTCAAACTCAAGCTGATGACACTGGATTTTTCAGCCCTTTCAAAAAGTCACTTACCTCTTTAATGTCAACAACACCTGCCCCTGCTGACAAACCAGTGGACGGATCAGCTACCCCATCAGTGTTTTCCATATTTAAACCTACCGAGGTCCCTAAAACAGAAGATGCAGCAGCTGCTGCTGGCAACAAATTGAAGCTTCCTTTCTTTTTTTCCGATACTCCTGCCACTTCTCAAGCCCCAAAGCCAGAGGGTGGGATGCTGTCTGGGTTCCTGAAATTGGCAACTGGTGAAGATACGACCACTTCAAAACAGGGTGTATCCCAGCCAGCTGCTACATCGCCTCTGACAAGTCGTGCTGTCCTGCTGGAGAGTGTACCAAAGGGAAATTCAGAGACAGGATGGTTTTCTAATCTTTTCAGAGCACCTCCAGCAGAGTCACCAAAACAACAGACAGTAACACCAGACCCATCAAAACCTTCAACAGCCACAAAAAACATACCTACTGTTGTTGTTGCGCTTGAAAAACCTGAAGAAATTGAGGATGCTTCTATAGTGTCAGGGGATGTAGCACAGGAAGAATGCCAAGATGATACAATAGTAAAGCCTGAAACTGATTCCCTGTCTGATACACAACTTAATAGTAAGTCTGACACTAAGAAAGAGCCAAATGCTGCAGTACAGAGTGCGATGCAAACAGATCCTTCATCCAATACTGAAGCCAAGCCTCAAGACCAGACCCAGACAACACCTCAGGAACTGGCAAAACCTCAAACTGAACAGGCATCCTCTAAGCCCCAGGGCTTGTTATCAGGACTGTTATCTGGTGCTAGCAAACTGGATCAGCCTCAACAAGGTGGGCTGCTCTCGGGGCTATTTTCATCTGTCACTACAAATGAAAGCCAGTCTCAACAAGGCATCACATCTCAATCAGCAGGGTTATTTTCTGGGATTTTGAAGATGGCTACCCCTGAAAATGTTGATACAAGTAACCAACCAGCAGGTGCACAACAGGAGCCTGTACCTTCTGGAAACCAACCCGGCAAGCCATCTCTAGCAGGCGCTGACAAACAACCACAAAAGGCTACTGTACCTCCCCAAGGTGGTGGGCTTTTATCTGGGTTATTCAAATTGGCCAGTGACACTATTTCACACCCCCCGGCTACTGCTGCCCAGCAAGCACCAGGGCCTCCTACCAGTCAACCTGACCAGATGTCAGCAACCACTGAAGAACCCACTCAAGGACCAAAGCAAGGTGCTGCACCACCTTCACAACAAGGTCTCTTGTCTGGACTTCTGAAATTGGCAAACACTGAGAATGTTTCTGCAACTGGACATGCAGCTCAGGCTCCACAGCAGCAACAGCCAGGAACCTGTGATGGTCAGCAATCAAATCAACAGCAACAGCAAACAAATACTCAGAGTGAGCCACCACCACAGCAAGGAGCACCAACTCAAACTCAGTCTGGAGGACTATTTGGGGGACTTCTAAAATTGACAGAGAGTGCGCTTGCACCATCAGGGACACAACAGACAAGTGACATGAGCAATCGGCCTAGTCAACAGTCAGTGCAACCACCACCTCCTGCAGGTGGAATGCTGTCAGGATTTCTGAACAAGATAGCTGCAACTGAGAACATATCTCAGCAGCATCAACCCCCAGCTGATGGTCAGATGCCAAACCAAGGCCCTAAACCATCACAACAGGCTGCCCCTTCTCAGCAAGGAGGCTTTCTTTCAGGTTTATTTGGCATCAGCAGTCCAGAGGTCAATACTGCCAATCAGTCATCCCCTCAGAATGCTAAGCAACCTGGTCCTACTGGGCCTGGTAATCAACCTAATGTACAGCAGACCAACAGGCAAAATCAGGTTCCACCTCAGCAAGCCCAGGGAAGTGGACCAGGTGGGATGCTCTCAGGCTTGTTTAATAAAATTGCAGACACGGCTCAGGTTCAACCATCAGGTCAGCCTGGCCAAAATCAGAATGCAGCCCAGCAACCTCCTCCTGGTCAACAGGGCGGTTTTTTATCTGGGCTATTTTCCAGCAATAATTCCCCAGCACAACAGCAGCAAAGTCCTTCTGGAGCACGAATAAATCAAAACCAGCAGCAACAGGGCAACAGACAGCCATTGCAGAGGCAGAATCACATTCCTTCACAGCCAGCTGCAGCACCAGAGCCTCAACAGGGAGGTCTGTTTTCTGGTCTCCTAAATAAATTGGCATCAGTGGATACTCTAACTCAACAGTCTGGGGCTGGAGATCAGCTGAGTCAACAAGCAAAGAAACCTGCACCTCCAGGGCAAAGTCCGGCTTCAAGCCTGCAACCTCCTCCACCAAATCAATCTGGGGGAATTCTTTCTGGGTTTTTGAAAATAGGGGCAGATACATCAGCTCCTAAACAATCCTCTACTGGACAGCAACAGCAGCCTTCACCTAGAGCACAACAGTCAAAAAGACAGGGTCCACAAGGACAAAGTGGTCCACAAGGAGCAGCACAGCAGCAAGGTCAGTCTGGAGGCCTGTTCTCCAGTATTTTCAAAATGGCTACCTCAGATGAATCCCAACAACAGCAGGATCAAGCAAATGCTCAACCAGGTGACACATCTACACAAGGTAGTAATGCTCAACAAAATGAATCTGGTGGCATTTTATCTGGATTTTTGAGTAAACTTACCACATCAACTGATGAACAGGTAATTAGCCAAGTTCCTGCTACTCAGAAACCACAGCAACAAGAGAGACCTAGTGCTAAGACTGGTCAGAATCGCCCACAGATTCAGAGAGCAAAGCCGGTTGAACAAGAGTTCTCTCAGGATGGGGGCAATGAGAAAGAACAAAAAGCTCCACAACAGAAAGGTTTTCTGTCAGGATTATTCAGCAAGGGCTCTGAAGATGATGCTTTATCTAAACTAAAGGAAATAAATGCCCCTTCTCAGATCAAGGATGAACCAACAAAAACTCCTAGTGTTGGAACGGGTACACTTTCTAGCATTTTTAAATCAGGGTCCA